TAATAGATCTTATGGAAGGAGAGAAGATGAGAGAAAAGACACTGTAGAGATTTGAAGAAAGTCGTAATTTTAGGTTTTAATTTAAGTTTGGTTTCGTGGTTTCATGGTTAATCCATGATTAACCAAACCTTATAGTTGTGAATCTACAAAAATTCAAACCAAATAAAACCAAAACCAAAACCAAAAATGATCCAATCCAACCCAACGGAATGGGTTGGACTGGTTTGGATCCTGCTTAAACGGGGACCAACTTGTAGCCCTAGTCATTTTAGTTTAGCATTTATTGAGTTATTACAATGCGGGTAAGGGTGTCATTGTCAATGAGCAAGCATTCATTTTTAGTAAAGACTTCTATTGCTTAAGTCTTTCGTCTCTGACATTGTTATATCATTTAGTGAGTATTTATTAGTTAAGACAGTATAAAATTTCCCTAGCATCCATTCAGTAGCACTATTGTTATTTAGTGGATTTTACAAATAGTATTGCAAATTGACTAAATATGATTGGGTCACTTTAACCGAACAACTCGCATATATATGTTGCTTAAGCCATGAATCCTTTTATAACCTCTTATTAGTTTAAAACTCCTCTTATTACTTAAAAATTATGTGTTTTTCTTTGTTTTTGTTAATTATATTAGGTGAGTGAATACTCATTTTTTATCTAGTCTCCTATTTTTTTTTCTCTGTGAAAATTGTCTCTCACAACATTTTCTTGCATGTTAATGAAAACAATACTGTAATACAGTCCATTCAAAAAATATGTCACATTTTCTTTGAAAGAAACCCTATGAATTCTTATTATTATTTATATTTTTGACAATATTATAGAAGTCATTTTAATGGCCATTATAGCTCATAAAGAAAGTTTTAAAATTTAATAATTTGTGCCATACAACATGAATGATTATATTAACTCATCAAGTATTTTTGTTACTTTGAATTAGAATGACTTATTTTCTTGTTGATGCAAGAGCCCTTTCCCATGGGTACTAATGTTTGATAAAAAACCAGAAAGACTTGAACAGCCAGCCCTAAGAACAATAGCTAGGAACCTTCTGGTCAAATTATCCCAAAAACTTTAATTAAGATGTTTACTTTACTAATTAATAGGTTATTTTATATCTATTAATATTAATGTGGAAATTTTATTTTGATACTATTGATAATTGAATGAGTTTTATGAGATTTTAATTAATTTTACATAATTTTTATTTTTTATGTAGAAAAAAACTTAATTGGAAGGAATTCGAATTCTAAGACCAAATCAAAGAAATCAAAACTATGAGTATCAAAGTGTCAATCAGTGAAGGATGAGGGACCAAAACAGTTTTACCAATGAAGAACCAAAATTACTTAGAAAGCCAAAATCCCGTTACGGAGTTGCTTCCATAAATTATTTATACGTGTCGACACGTTAATCTTAGGTGCCGATCCTTTTGCCGGCTTTGTGCTCTTGTACGGATGAAATTCTATTTTCTTTGGTGTTGGTCTCACTTCTTTTACCATTAGAGTTTCTTCAAGCTCTATAAACACTTGTTGGTCAAGACAAAAAATCTTATAAATATTCGTTTAAAATCATAATTGAGGAGTCTTGGAAGGCCTTTATTTTATTAACTCTTTTTGGAAATTTTTGGAGATCAAAATAAAGTGAGGTAATAAGAAATTTATTAATAATAAAAATTTTAAAATTTAATTTTTTAAAATTTAATATAATTTTTTAATTATTTTTATTTATTAATTGATATTCTTGTGTTCAAATCTATAATTTCAAGTTTTAATA